GTTGGCCAAAACGTTTCACAAATTCTATTCTAAAATGAAAACTGAAACGAGCCCGGTTAGAAATTTTCTAGGCAACCCAATTTCTGAAACTGCTCCTACCCGTTCCGTCGATTCCATTTCGCGCAACGAGAAAGCGGAGGAATGGTTCCGTGCGAAGAGGCCGGAAGAAAATTTCTACAAACACAGCGTTGGGAAAAACCGTTCGCTGCTAGGAACAAAGGGGAATTGTTTCGCGTTCAATTTAGAAGACGACCCGCGATTATGACTCAACGATTGCGATAGTTAAACCCGAAGAACCGCGCGCGGCCGCCGCCGCGGCGTTCCACGCGCGTGTTGTACGAGCCTTGACATTTATACGTCACGGAGAAACTCCGTGTGCTGCGCTCATCCTGCTTAGTGGAAAGCTGTACAAACGGAAAGAAACCATCGAGACCACCCGGCCGGCTGTAAACGTGGAAAAACGTTTCCGCCGATCTCCAATGAAAATTTCAAGTTCCGCAATAAAGCATGACTCATTCCCGACGCGTCCAACATACAGGGTGTACCACAATGAATCGTATATCAAAAATGCTCGCGGCGTTTAACGAATATCGTGCAGATTTTATGTATAAAATTAAATTAAATGGAAAATTAAATTTGAATTTGTTTTATTCTTTGGAGATTAATTATATACATTCTATTTTTGATATTCTTTGCATATATTCTACAGATATTTTTCTATAAGAATACGAGGAAGCAATTTTGTGTCCACTGATTTGAAATTGTCCATTCTTCATGATCATAATTCTGTTTGTAAACCAGAAGAGGTTTGTAGGACGTTATGAAATGCTGTTTACGGCTGTTCTTCAAGGCTGTACGTGAGACAACGAAAGCCACTCAAGATTTAGTATAATGAGGTGTCCGTTCGTTAAGGCATGGCCAATCGGTGAATAGGAAAACTGTGCATGGAACGAACGAGCATAAGAGAACGTAAATTGTGATTTCTCGTTGAACGATCGGGAACCTATCAACGATTTCCTAGCTGTTTCCGTTCGGAGAAAGATGTTGGACGGAAGTCGCGAGAGAAACGGTACTTCCGATTCCAATATCCTCCCGTGGCAACAGATATCAAATTTCTCTCGTAGTGGAAAACCGTGGAAACTTATGTGAAACGGTAAATTTACATAGGTCGCGCGGGTGACACGTCGTCGCGGCGCGTTTCCAACGATCATCGCGCACCAGCTGAGGGCGAATCGATTCGTTTCAAAGCGACGTCGCGTCGTTTCAGACGGATTCGAGGGCGAAGGGTGTTGCCCTTTGTCCTCGATGGCACTCGTCTTCTACCTGACACTGCACCCGGCCCCAGTTCCCTTCGGTTTCTCGATCGAATTTTCCGAGGGCGAGGAAGCAATCGTCTCGAGGCGGCCGCTCCGTTGCACGAAGGTCGATCGAACTGGCCGAATGCGCGGCGAATACGCGATATTCGCGAAAGCACACCAGGAATAAATTATCAAAGCGGCTGACATTGACATGTATTCCGTGATACGCCTAACATACGAGATATTTCATGTTCACTATCGGCAGCAAGTTTCAAGCATGGAGATCAAAGAAATTACTAGCAGCTCCAGTTATTATTGCAGTTCTAAAGGACGCGAGAAAAACGCGATGCAACGCGAATTGTTCTGATATTTTAGATAATGCTACTTTTTATAAAGAATCTGCAGAGAGTGCTGGAGGACGTTTCGTCAGGGCTTTTTTAATAGAACAACGAACGGCACGCCGGAGTAGCAGTGCATTCTGGCGTGTCGATGCACTGTGGGAAAACAGCAGGCGTGCAACGAGCTCCGAGAGAAAGATTCCACATGTATCCAGATTCGCGAATCGAATGCAGCTTCTTGATTTCACGCGGTATCGATCGTACAGACTCGAGCCACGATTCCGCCCACGTCCCGGCAACGGGACCACGTTATACCTGCTGGATCATTACCGCGCGATCCTTCGATTTCGCGTGTCCAGGCTGTGGGAAACGTGCACGATAGCTTGGTATCCACCAGGGAAAACTTTCTCACGTCGGCGTCACTGGCACTGAACAGGCGTCGTTCGCGCCTCCGGCGAATCAAACGCCATTTCGAATCGGGGACCGCGGAACGACGTATATATCCGACGGAAGCTGGGATCGGAGCGTCGGAACGGAGCAGCGATCCTCCAGGAACGACAAAACGCACTGCTGCTGCCGCTGCTCACTCCGGGACACGAAGTCTGCTGGCTAGTATACGACCACAAACGCGTACACACTATGAAACCGTGACTCCGACACTGGCGTGTACACGCTCTTTCTACGAGCGACTCGTTGGACGAGAACAGACCGCAGGAGAGAGGGAGACAAACTCACAGGCACAGTAGTTGTCTCGTGTGCGTGTGAAAGGGTTGAAGCGAGAGGGGAAGAGCGAGCGCACGCGCGCGCGCGCGCATTCGTATATAATAGACCGGGTGTACACGTGTACTGGGAAATGTGCGTGAGAGAAAGAAAGGAGGAGTAGAAGCGAAAGAGGGGACAGTGAAACAGTTTCAACGGGAGTACGAACGAGTGTTTCTCAGGTGTGTGGGTGGAGAGGTATATATATATGGGACGTTTTCCCTCGGCTGTTATCGGTTCTTCTTCACGCCGAGACGACTTTGTCGTGTCGCGTTCTTCACGTACACTCGCGGGAATGCACGTAGCATGCTGGAGTGAAAAATCGTGGAAAATCGATCGTGGAAGGAAGAAGCGCGCCGGTGGCGACGACCGAAACGGCGTGGCAATCCCCTCTTCGCTTTGCCCACCCTCAATCTCTCTCTCTCTCTCTCTCTCTCTTTCCTCTCTGTAGTCTGCCTTTGTGTCTCTCCTTCCATCCACCAGATGTTATGTCCATCCTTCTTCACCTTTCGTAAACCCTCGCCCCTCTTTCTTTTCATTTTTCTATCCCTTTTCCCAGCGTGTCCTCTTTTAGCTCATCTCTCTCCATCTTCGTCGCTACGATCCCTGCCCTGTGCCAACTATAGATTTTCAGGATGAGGAAATTCGTGTGACCGATTTTCAAAACGGAGCAAAGCGAACAGTCGCTGCCGCTTCTAAGTTCCTATGACTCATGCGACGACGACGACGACGACGACGACGGTGACAACGGGACACTGAAAATTGCTCGGACGGCCATGAAAATCCAGGAGCATGCCCTCTCTCAAGATCTGAGGAGCAGTGCGGCTACCGCGCAACGCGACCGCGATGCTTTGCTCGCGAACGTAGAGAAGAGCAGCTGGAAACCTGCTGGCGACGGGGTTCTTTCAGGGACGTACGGTTCGATCCTCATACCACGTGGTCCGCAGCTGTCATTGTTCGGAACGTGATCTGAGTGTAGAGCGTACCCTGTGATCTTTCGCCGGTCTCGATAACAATCTACTTGAAGATCTTATCGTCAGACCGGCGCCACGATTTTTGGAGCCTCAAACGCCTCCTTACATCTGCTCGAACTTATATCTTCACAGAATTTCATCATTTATAGAGTACCGATTATGATTCATATCAATAAATTGCTGTAGGAAATTTCGATATGGAAAGATCGCATCGTTTATTAAAAGTACCAATAGAATGCATACCACGATTTAAAAAGTCGAAGAGTAATCTTGCTAGATTTCACCCTTTAAATTGATTTTCTATAGCATTTATTTTGCATAAAAGTCTACAGTCTTTTTTACATGTAGCATTGAACAGATTTAAAATGTTTCCGTTCTTTCGGTCAAAATTGGAATGGTTATAGTCACGTCAAACAGAAAAGGAGAACATCTGTATGTTACTGTATACGGTAATAGGAAATCATGAAGAGAAAAAGCGATATTTCAAGTCAGAGTAAACTGATAATGTTCCAGTAATTATCTGCCAGTGAATAATGCTGATAGTAAAGAAAGAAAGAGAAAGAGAGAGAAGGCGATAAGGTTTAATCTACTGCGATTCCCCATAAATAGATTTCCATCTCTTTACGGCTGCAGTAAATGCTAGACGGGAAAAGTAAAGATAACGAGACAAAATGTCTGGAAAACAGATAACACAATCATTTGAGGGAATGACTGTACTTTATCGAATAGCTGTACAACTTATACAGAATAGTTTGATTTAGTAAAATGTATGATGATGTGCACGAATTTGTCTTGTTAAAAGTCCAAATTCAGAGAAAGCAAATCTGACCCGCTACAGATAGGGAAGAGGGGCAAAGTTGAAGACCGTACGGAAATCAGGGACGTAGTTAGAAACGAATGAGCCATCGTGAAAAGGAGGACATATAAAATCTTAATCAACATCTATTATCGATGTCCACTAGCTAAATTGATTCGAAAAGAAGCAAGTGATGTGGAAATATTCGGATTAACATATATATATATTTTAACGCCTTATCTGTCTTTCACGTAATAGTAGTGCCCGACTTGTAGCGAGAGCTCAGAGACAAGCGTTCTTTAGAACGCGTAATTAAATTATTCAACCCTCGAATAGTTATGGAGTGCCGTAAAAGAATGAGAACACTTTCTCCATGGTTCCATGCAAATGTAATTTCCTTTACGCGACGAAGATAAAAAGTTACTGTCTCGCTACGAGCTCCATGAACGTGAGAGGGCTGATCAATTTTTATTGCTCGGTCATAAAGTAAAATCTAGAGGAAGGTCAATTACATTTTAAAGTCTTTGCTAGTTTTCAAAATTTAAACTTTCCCTCTTGTGCTACATTTTCAGCATCAGGTAAAGATTCCATCGATTTTACGTAGAGAGCTACAGCAGCTGGTAAGCGAACAGTTTTGCAGGGATCTTCCTTTGCGAATAGAGCTGCAATCCCAAATACGTTTATCGACACAAGCTCCGAGAGCCATGCAGCCCATTTTATCGGTGATTTCAATTTCAACGCGGTATTTTCAATCCCTCGTGTGCATCAGATAAAGACATTCATTATGTCATTTTGGAAGTTTAACGAGAATCAAACAAACATTGCATAGTCTCACCTCCTTCGTCTGTCATTACAGAGATAGTCGTCGTTGGACCACGTCCTTCCGGATTGAACACTTGCAACGACACTAAATACTGCGTGTACGTCTGCAGATTTCTTATCGTGTGATTCTGCAATATAAAAACACATACAGAGTTCATAAAATTCTCTAAATTACTTGTATAGAATCAATCGAATTTTTACTCACGTCGATGGCTGGATTCCTTATGTAAATCTCCTTCTCCTCCATGCTTGGTTTCTCACGTGGTTTGTATCCAATTCGATAGCCCAAGAACTCGCCACGGAGGGTGTCAGGACTGGGTGGCTTCCACGCCAAGTAGATAGACGTAGCAGATATGTTGTGAGCGCTGGTAATTGTAGGCGTACCGGTGGGTACTGGAACGCAAAAAATGAAATCGAAACGCGTCAGCATATTTCCGTGCAAACACGTTGCGGGAAAATGTTTTCCCCGACGATTGCATGCATTCGAGTATCATAAAAGCATATTCCCCCAGGTTCGATGGTTACCGTTCAACAATCGTTATTAATACACATATTTCGACGAAACCAATTCATTTTCTGAACAGAAACAAATAAAAAAAATAAAACAAAATTGAATACCGTTTTTCTCCCCCGTCTATAATTGATTTTCCTAACCGAGCTTCAATTTTGGTCTGTCGAAGGTATAAATTTAATTGGCTTCCATTTCAAAGCACCTCTGTTACAAAAATATCTTGCCGGAGAATGAAACTCGATACGTTTGAAGAATTTCCCGGCGCACAAATTACGTGCTTGTATCGTTCTCGCTAGTCCACCAATTCGACACGAGTACCATCGAAGTTTCATATCTACCGAGGTTAAAAATATATTTGAGATCACTGTTTGACGATCGACTGGCAGCAAATATCGTGCCGATCGCATTTATTTTCCATCCTTGCCTGTCGTCGCGAGAAAATAAAATTTGTACGATCACGCTTAATCGCGCTCCCCATGATTCTCATCCACCCGGGCTCGCGAGAGGCGCACGCATTTCATCCGCAGCCACCCTCTCCCCGACGTAATATTTTCAGCAGCTGATAGCTTTCGACTCGGTTAAAACTCGCGTGCGCGAGTAATTTAATAGCTTTCGCGCGATCGAACTCTAGCATCGGTTGATCGAGATGCCTCGTTCGAATATAACAGCAATTACTCCAGAGAAATACGAGGCCGATCGAAGCTTATTTCATATCGCGCTGTTTGTCACAAATGTCTCCAAGAATTTATCGCCCGCCGCTTCCATTGAAATAGAATACAATTTTCCCCGAACCTTCCACCTTCTTAAAATTCTCGCTGAACGTTTTACTGCCCTACTCCCCGAGGCGTTTCATAAGTTACGCGTCACTTCATTACTATCGTCACTGCAATACTAAGTTGTATGCGCATACGTTCTGATAATCTCTGAGGATCACAATGGGCCCTAGCAGTTTCTTACGATCATGCGTTGCTCCAGTCGAATGGACTCGAGCGAACTTCCAGCTCAACTACAGTTCATCCGTGTCCCCAAGTTTCGTAAACTCGGAACAAACTGCATAGATGAAGTAGCAAGAAAATGAATTGTCGAAAACAAGAAACAAGTATTTCTTCCTGTGTTCATAAAGAAATTGCACCTGCCGAGAATATTAAGAGCTGAAGTAAATTGCTATCTATTGAATACTTCACTTTGCACAAAAATGTAGTAATTATCGCTGCCGGATAATCGAAGAGTTTAACTGTAATGGGAGCAATAATTACCGCGACTGAACGCAAAGGAATGCATTTCCCGCAGTTAATTTCGATGGCGGAACTTTCTAAAGCGCGGTCGCCTTACTCTCTATTTACACGCGAACCACGCGGAAAGACCGGGGTAATTTTCCTCGGGCTAGCCGTCTGTTTTTATTTCGATGTCCCTCGGTCACGTAATTATTCATAAGCCTTTGGACAATATTCCGTTCCGCTGTCTCCGCGCGCGGATATTAATTAGGCACCCGTTAACTTTCGCCAGGGGCATTATTTTTTGTCAACCAAGCTTTTGTTATATTTACCGAAGCAATTAACGTCTCGCGTGGACATTAATAATCAAAGAACGCTGTAATAGTTGAATATCTCACGAGCAATTGTGAAGATAAATGCATTTAAAAATTATTGATAGAACTCCGAGTAATAAATTAGACAGCGTAGTGTCGAGCTTGTTAGGTATCATTTAAAACGCAAAAATATCCCCGCGTTACATTTTCCTGATCGTCCGTAGGCTGGCAGTTAATTAACGAAACAAGCGGAATTATTAACGCGCAGGTAGAGACATTGTGGAGGGTCAGGCATTACGCGGAACGCGATAAGTCTTTCACGCGATTCCGGACCGGGATAATTCAGCTGCCCGTAATAAATGTGAGTCCGGCCGCGTTTTTACCGTCGCTAAATCTGCGTTAAGTTATTATGATCCCCCGGTGGGGGGCGCGTTTATGACTGCTACGTTTGCCTTTACGGCCCGGCGATAAAAGCACGCGACACCGAACTTTCCCTCGCGCGTTTTTCAAACCGGTCATCAATTTTCCCTAACCGACATCGATCCGAATAGAACGCGACGAGAAACTAATCCAATATCTCATAGAATAGTAAAGTACCGATTCTATATACTAAATAGATGATGAAAACGCTGCCACTCGACGAATTACACCCTCCATAAAACGGAGGAATGCCCAAAGGAGAAGGCGGCGGTGTTGGGAGACTTCTTATCAGCTCCGAAGGGAAATAAAAGCAAGGATCTCGCGTTCGTTGGTATTCAACATCATAACTCAGTTTGATTACCGGCTCGCGGGGCCGACGATGCTGGCGGAATTAGCTGGTCCTTCAATTTTCACGTGGGCCAAACGAACTTACCCCTTGTGGACTGCGCTCAGCTATGTATAGGTGAGACTGATACGGCTGTCCCGATAGCTAATTGGTGACTCTGTTTCGCCATATATTTATGGTGGGACAGGCGAACGACCTCCGGAAACGAGACTCGACGTACTTATTGGTACTGGGGTGAAGTGGTACGAGGAATTTCGTCTGCTCTATTGATCTGGGTGAGATAGAAAGAGAGAGAGAGAGAGAGAGGTGGGGCGGGGGAGGACAGAAAGGGCAGCATTTCATTTAAGCCACTGAATTCCTGTACACCACCGACGACGTGGCATCCGCCATTCTCTTGGACACACGCACACGGATCGGTAGTATTAGAATATGCCGGCGACAAATTGCACGAACGAACTCGAATGTTGACGCATTATCGGCTAATTGTGCGTGCCCCGATTCAATTTCGTTCTCCATTACCCTTGGTTAACCGTACTAGTTATTTTCTGAATCATTTAGAAACCGAATTTACGGATAAATGCGATTGTATGAACGTTCCTAGTAATTGAAAGTAATCTCAGAGCCGCTACTGGATAAACGATCGTTCCGTAGCTTGCAAAATAGGTGTGTCGTAGAAGTTTTCTTAAACAGAATAATGCGAATACTTATTACTCGAGGATAGGAGATAGAAGAGGAGAAGAAGAGGACAAAAGTTCCGTACTGTTTCATTAACGACTCCAGGGGATGGAGAACGTTTGCCGGCTGCAAAATTAATTATTCTCTGAAGGTGTGTCTATTTGCGCGAGGAGATTGGAGTTCGCCTCCGGTCGGTGAACATCAAAGAAGCTACGGGGAACTTGCAGAAATATTATTGAAAAATGAAAACCTAAACGTAAAGACATTCGTCCCAGTCTTTCGACGTCGAGCCTGTTACGAACTTCTATCGACCCAGGTCGTCAATAGCTATATAAAACATGTTTTATATAGCTCATTTCATTGACGACATTAAATACACAGTCCTCTATTAATTGCCTGTTAATCATTCTGATGTCTATCGTTGTTTCATCGTTACGTGACATCATTTGAGTCAGCTGCTTCATCTACATACTCGTTCATTGCTAATTTCACTAATATGTGCAAAATGCTATGTACGAATCTTTAACTTTCTTAATCACATTTTTTAAACGGGTAGACAATTTCTACTGCGGGACCTCATTAATAGAAATTTGGCTCGCGTTTCTGTCTATTTATGTATTCATTATGATTGCTATTTGGAATTTGACCAGTGCATCGTAGCGGTTGGCAAGCACTGCCGATTCTTCTTTCGTCGGGACGTGCATATGTGAAAAATTCATTCGGTACCGCGCGGATAGAGCCCGATGTCAGAGTTGACGTATTACTCGTTGCTCCCTATCGAGCAAGGGTTTGTCATCCTGTTTTAAGCGTGGATTCACCACGGCCCAGAAAGGCTTCATCGATTCTCAGAACATCACATCACGTGCTAAATCGGATACGTAAAAACGACACAAACCGCCGCGTTCAAATTGCAACAGAACTTAATTGGGACTTCCTATTGTCGAAAGTATTGATGGAAACTAGGCGAAATTTGATTTATTTTTAAATTCTACGGAAGCACATGGTTCATTGACGAATGAATTTTTATCGAGCCCCACGCGTTTCCATTACGAACTGCAATTTCATGCCGGATCCCACTCTTTTCCGAGCGTCGAAATTTTCAGTGTGACAATGTTTTGCTTGATCGGTCAACGTTATTGTTGACAGTTCCTGTGAAAACGGCGTTTAAACGTCGCTTCCGATCGCGAGTATCGGAAAACACGCCGCGGTGGATATATAGAGAAAAACAAAACGGATTCCGACGCAAGCAATATCGCGAAACGAATATAATCGCGTTCGGTTTAACAACACGTAACGTTCCATCCCCTTTTCCGTTTTATCCGCTAACCGGGAGCGGTGCACGCGCGAGCGCTTCGAATCACGTATACGATGTTACCTGGTATTTAAATTAGGTAACGCGTGATGCGGGCCCGGAGTCTTGGTGACTGAATAATTCTGCCTATCTCGCGCCCAGCTGCGAGCATCAGTTTATGTATTTTACATACCGCGGCTACTGTGTTGACGCGACCCAATCGAAAATCCGAAACAATATTTAGGATCCCGCATTCGCGTGAACCGGTCGCAAATTTTTTAATCGGCTGTTCATTCTGAAACCTGTTATTGGCGATCGTCAGCTGATCGAACTTTCACGGTGTACAATTTTATAACGAGATACAGTTAATTATAGGGAGCGTAAACAGAAGTAATCCGCGAGCAATGAAATATTATGTAACGGCGAAAGATTAATACGAATGCGATACCGACGCACGTCGTTAATCCATTTCAGTAAGCTGGTTCATTAAATCTGCGGCTATCCCACCGCTAATTATAATGCCAGAGCATCGAGCCTATTACCCGTATCAATCGGTTTATTGTCATTCTAACGTATCTATCGGGTCACGTGTGTCATTTGCTACGCGCGACGGACAAAAGCAAAACGAAAGCGGAGAAGCGATATTAATTGCCAACTTATAAAATCGGATGACGAATATGGAGTATAAAGGAAAAGCTTGTTATTTGTTTCTTTGCCATTTTATTTTATTTCCGTCGCGCCATTTGATTGATATCGCGATAAATTCCGTTCGACGATTGAGCATCGGTCATCCGATGTTTCAAGCATATCTTTTCCACGGAAGCAAACGAATTAATCGAGTAATACGATATATCAATCGGCGATGATCGCTGTAAACCGATATTTCCCCCGAAACGTGTATGTTATTTAATGCATTCGTTTTTAACCGTTCAATTTTACCGTTTAATTACTCCGTATGTTTAGGTAATTATTACGAGAGAAACGTGATATGATTGATTAATACGATACCGACGGATTGCTAAATAATATAATGCGTATACACATACACCTAATTTTAGGAAGCCCACTGGGAATCAAAAGAGTTTTTCGTGTTGCGAATCACTATCTGGCATGCCACTCGATACTTTCAGCAATTTCAATAATTCATTCGCAGTGATAACGTGATAATAGACTCATGCATATGCAACTGCTCCGACTTTTAATGCCCAATTAATATCGGATGCGTGATGACAAATTTCGAAGCAATTTTATTTTCTTCTGTCCACATAAAACTTTATTCAGAATTAAATTGAATAAATTGTATACAATTAAAGATTTATTTAAACAGTATGAAATGTATGCGAGAACAATATAAATAGAAATACTGCAGTAGTAAGTTTTGCCATTATGGGATGCCTGACCAAACAGCGATTGTTCTACTTAAATAGTCTGTAGTTGCGTCTCTGCCGCTGGATGGCAGCAATTTACTGATTCTGTAGGCAGGAATCCGACAATTCTACGGTGAATGAGAGGTCACTCACCGGTGAATGGAAATGGGGCCAATCAAATTCTAATGCAGTTTATAATTAGTTTAAAAAGCTATTCTTATCAGCGAAGGAGATTAACCGTAAAAATAGCGAACACAGACTTCAAATAGCATCGCATGATTTTATAATTGCAGGATATTGAAATTTGGTGGTTTTACAGAAAAACCTTTGAGGAATACGATCGGCTCCTTCGTATTTTAATCTTTGGTACCAATCTGACAGGGTAAAAATGTAAAAATAAAAGTAGTCGATATTTTTATTATGGAAGTCTTATTTTTTTTTTAAAATATCTAAATTTCGTATCGAACGATGGAAAATGTTCGATTGGGTGGAATTTGGAAGATCCGTCACGGACAGAGGTAATTGTCACGGTGATGCGCATGGGAATTTAGACTGTGGAAGGCCAGCACTGCGCTAACCGTGACGCTTCTTTGTCAGCGTCGCGGTGCAAAGTTTGCCGAGCATCGTAGGTATACATGCAGGCGGGTCGTCGCGTCGGGTCCAATCCCGGCGGCGTTGACAGAATTTATAGCGCACGGCCAAGCTCAACCTATTTTCCGGCTTGGCTCAGACGCCTGGCACGACGAAGACGAACCGAGAGGAATTAAGGGTGAGTGGAACCGGGAGAAAGCTCCAGGTTTGACCGGACTCGAGTTAAGCGCGGCTGTACACCGGTGCTGCAATTAGCGCCTCTTTAGTCGACCGGGTCTCATGCCGGGCCGCGGAGAACCTATTCTTCTCGCTCCTCTTCTCGACCCTTTCTTATATACTGTTAACGCTCGAAGAGTTTCCACCCCTCGCGAGCGTTTGCCTTCTTCGCGAGCATTGCCCCGAAGGGACTCGTTTCGTTGGCCACCTCCCGTTAGATTTTATGTCTATTACCATTCCCCTTGGTATTCTCAGCCATAATCTCTTGAGGAATTACGAGGCTCGAGAAAACGATGATTATATCAAGGGGAAGTGGGAATATAGGAAAGGCAGCTAGCTCAGTTAGGAACTTCAACTTTTCACTCTCCCATCACTTTTAATATTTTTACCTGCGAACATTATTTCATTTTTTCATATTATCTGTTAATGACAAGCTCGAATATACTTACGTTCTCTGAGAGTGACGGCAGGAAACGTCCCCAGGCTGGGTTTGCTCCGTCCCATCGCGTTCACCGCGGAAACGCGGAAGCGATAAACGGAGAACGGTTGCAAATTCTCGACGGTGTAGGTGGTATCGTTGTTTGGCGTCACGATTTCTTCCGTCGCGTTCCATGGTCCCCTTTCGCCGATCCTGAAAACAATCGCACGGTCGTTAGTACCGACGTGTGTAAACACAGAACGAAATTGATAAAAGGAAAAAAAAAATCGCAACGCGTTCCAAAGCTTTTGTTCCCTCTCACGGTTTTTGTTTGCCGACCGACTACACGCGTAAAAGAGAGAATTTCCGAAAAAAACGGGGATATTTTTCTTAATATACAAGCCTATTCTGTTTCGTAGTTCATGTTTGTATTAAAGAACGAATGTAGATAATGAATAATGAATGTAGTGGTGGAATACTTGAATGGACAAGGGAATCTGGTAATTCGAAATCGTCACGCTGGATCGTACGCTTCACGGTTGATTAGAGTCGAATGGTTCAACCACGAGCAACCGACGACTGCGTTTAGACATTAATATTATACATAGCTGGTATCGACGAATCGTCAACGGGCCGGATATGACGCGCCGGTATCGGATGCAAATCGAGCGGACGCGGAGATTAATTAATGCCTCAAGCATCGGGTCACTTCAAGCAAACAATGCTGTTTTACCTAGATTCCGGTTACGGCCAAGTTCCGATATGACGGAAACGCGGTTCGACGTAGAGTAATGAGTGGTCGAAGACGCAACACGCTTCCGCGAGATTTTACCTCCTCCCGCGTGTTACCGAATTCGTTGGCCCTAATTAATGCCGGCCATTAATTGTTCCGTGATCTAAAGTACTCTGGCAGCTGTGCTTCGAGTAATTGCCTCAGTTTGGTTAAGTCGCTTTTTTGCTATCTATTAGTTTCCAAACGTGCCTCGAACTTCCCCAAATCATTTTAGTCAAATGCTATAAAACATCAATGTGAAAATTCTATTTAAAAATTATAATATTACAATAATTGTATTTTATTCATGGGTAACAACCCTTGTAATACATAAATGAGAAGTAATATAATACATACCCATGTTAACAAAACTAACAAGAATAAAATTATAAATAATAATAATCTAGAAAAAGGTACAGAGATGTGATACGAGGTATAAATTTAACGCAGTGCAGATAGCAACGAGAAATTAATGAATTCATTACTGAAATTTTTATATCATTGCAAAATTAGTCGGATATAGATGAACTCGTGCAACGATCGATTAGTCTTCTCGAATTTCCAAATTTCGCGCACGTTGTTTAAATTCCCTGCACGTTTCAAAGGTTTTATTCAATTAGTACGTTTCATAGAAACCGCGGATTTTCCACTTCGTTTCTCCTCAGGTTTTTCTTCGCCCGACACGCAGTACGCGATACGCCAATTGTCCTAATTGAAACCCGGTCCTTTCCCAAATCTGAATTTCTCATTCGAAGCGCGTACCGCCAAATTTCATAGCACCGTGCTTTTCTTCCCTCTTTTTCCCGGCCATTCGGCGAAGGCCGATACGAGCAAACCGGAACTTCAAACGCAGCAATTTTATTTGATCATCCATATGTATTTTGTTATTTTTAGGACTATTAGAATTGAATCGTGTATATGTACTCAGTTTGTTACACGATTTCCATCCCCCAGTTTGTAGTTCTGCTGCTTCATGGGTTGCCGATTGTGCAATGTGATACGTTGGTTCAACTTAGATTTAACAGCGGAAATCGGAACCGGGCATACATTCCAGAAATACGATAGTTGGATACAGGCAATGAAGCAACATATTGGTTTCAAAACGTAATTACATGTCTAATGATTCTAATTAATAGAAGACTAGGAACATCGCGCAGCGGACATACAAATCAACGAAAGTCTGAAACTGATCACGAAATTATAAGCATTATCCGATTAACCAACAGCTTAGGGATGTATTGGCTATACAGTCAATCTCAAAAGTTTATGTACCTTAGAAAAACGCATTTCCTATAATTAAAAAGAAATCAGACGTCAGAAGAACAATCCTAATAATAAATAACTACGTGCTAAAAAGTATAGAAGGGAATATCCAATTAATTATTGACGCCGGCGAAAAAAT